AGCAAGGCATTCGACTGTGTCAACTGGAGTTGTTTATGGAAGGTCCTACAAGAACTCGGAGTGCCGCATCATCTCGTCGCTCTATTAGGCAGGCTTTACAGCTCAAGCCAGGGAGTTGTAAGAGTCGAGACCACAACCTCCAAACCTTTCAAATTGAAACAAGGTGTGCGTCAAGGTTGTATACTATCGCCCATTCTATTTAATGCCTACGGGGAATACATCATGAGACGTACCTGCGAGAACTGGGAGGGTGGCATCGCAGTTGGCGGCGTAAAACTCACAAACCTGCGGTACGCCGATGACACCACCCTACTCGCAGCAAACGAGTCGGAAATGGTTGCACTCCTGGGCCGAATGGAGCAGATAAGCGAAGAGATGGGACTTTGCATAAACAGGTCCAAAACAAAGCTAATGGTGGTGGATAGATCCGGAAGATTGGAACTCACCGGCGCTTTGGATTTAGAAGTGGTGGACAACTTTATCTACCTGGGTTCCAATATTAGCAATAACGGTTCATGCGAGAGAGAAGTGCGCAGGAGAATCGGAATGGCTAAGGGTGCCATGACCCAGCTTGGGAAAATATGGCACGATCGAAACATCTCCACTAGGACCAAAACCAGGCTGGTGCGGACCCTGGTCTTTTCGATCTTCTGTTACGGCGCGGAGACATGGTCTCTTAGGGCAGCGGACCGCAAACGAATTGACGCCTTTGAGATGTGGTGTTGGAGGAGGATGCTCCGTATTCCCTGGACGGCATTTCGAACCAACGTCTCAATTCTGCGTGAACTCAAGATCTCATCACGACTGTCATCCGTGTGCCTTCGTAGAGTCCTTGAATACTTCGGTCACATTGCAAGAAAAGAGGGAAACAACCTGGAGAGACTCATTGTGACCGGAAAAATAGAGGGGAAAAGGCCTCGTGGTCGCAGCCCGATACGTTGGTCCGATCAGATCCGCACCACTTTGGACTCTACCATCCACGGCGCCCATCACACCGCCAGAGACAGAATTGGATGGAGGAAGATCGTACGGGAGAAGGTGATACCGAAGGGAGGTCACGACCCTCAGCAATGAGGAATGCGAAGCAAGGAGGAGTCCAGGAGTACCACTTTCTGAATCATGCCCTTGATCCAGCCACCTACCGAGAGCCTCCTAAGATGTTGGTCGAGGCTCTTGGCTCAACCTCGCGTGCCAAGTCGATATACTTGATCAGTTTATCTTTCTCGGCTTTCACAAGGTTCTCGTCACGTGGGACGGCTATGTCCACAATCATTGCACGCCTCTCCTTTCGGTCCACCACCACAATATCAGGCTTATTGGCCACAATAGTCCTGTCAGTGATGAAACAATGAAACAATGAAACAATGAATTTATTTTTGCAAATAGGCCTTAAAACGGCACTTTTACACGTCAAATTATATGTGAAAAACTAGATGAAGCCGACATTTCCTATCTGACTACTCTGAGAAGAAATGCCGAAACAAACTCAGAGGTCAGTCTCTTTTCAAGTCCAGACAATATAAAATAACATAATGTGAGAGAACCGTGCAAGTTCATTCTGTAGTGGTCTTTTGAGGAAAGAACCACACCAGTTTAAGTGGACCCGTTCTGAAGACAGGCACGCAAGTGTCAGTTTGCAACCATATAGCTAGTGCTGTTGAGTTGTCCGACGAACAATACCGATCAAAAGAACATTTGGGTGGGTCGCGCAAGTACTCAAACTGTCAGAACGCAGATGACTGGTGATAAAAAAGCACGACAAGTCTCACACGGTCCTTACACTAACAATAATATAAAATAATAAAAATGTCAACAAATAAATAAAAAAAAAATGTCAAATAAAAAATAAAAATGTCACAATAGGTGATCATGTCATTGTATAAAAAAAAATAAACGTAATGTCAAATTGTATATAAAAGTGTAACTTATGTTACAAACATGTCAACATGATGATAGACCGGTCCCAGTACAAAGTGATATGACCATTATCAAGAACTGGGTCGGGCTCATACCTGTAGTACGGCACTTCCGATTCCACAAGAGAGTATTCCAGAGCAAGTTGCTGATGTATGATTCTGGCTACAAGATTATGCCTATGCAAGTACTCGCCGTTAGCTAGACGAGAACAATCAGAGATTATGTGACGAATTGATTCTCCCGGACGGTGACATGCCCGACAGATGTCAACCGTGCCGTCCTTCACAATGAATCTCCGGTAGTTATTCGTCATGATAACTTCGTCCATAATTCGTCGACAAACCCTTCGGTTTCCCCAAAGAGGTCGCCGAAACGCAGCCAGACTACAGACGCTAACTGGTCTACATCCGGCCCGTGTAGGGCTCGGAAAAAGCGTCCGTGAAGCTCCTTGCTCTGCCATTTAGTATAGATTATATTATTATTATCCGAACATTTTGGCGTGGACCGCCGAACACTGAATTATAGTATTAAAATGCTTAATAAAATTGTTGCGTGTAGAGATAAATTTTAATAATTTGTTCGATAAACCGCCAAAAGTGTTGTGTCATTGTGTCCCAACATAGGGAGAGAAAACCAAAAAATAGGCCATTAGTTCTATTATATAACATATTAAATAAGTATTAGATTAAAACGATTACCTAAATACCAATATGTTCTAAGTAACAGAGGGAAACCATTTTTTATAGTAAGTATCATGAGACATACTTACAAAATGTATTTAAAATAACGACTTAGGTACTCGCGTGAATATAATAACCGAGAAAAGCTCTAGATACTGGTTTCAAGTCACAAGAGGACTCCCATCCACGAGCGCACGCTGTTCACGAGTAGCAGTCCCTTTGTGGGTTCCAAGCACCTGTGTCAGGGGGAAGGTGAAGACGCCGTGCCGTCTCTCTAGCAGTCTAGCCACTCCTCAAAGAGGGGTCTTATCACTGCGATAACAGCGAACCTAGGCCTCAGTTAAGACAGTTGTTAATACTCCACCATGACATCGCGCCGGTGCTCATCCTGCCATTCACTTACGCACGCGGCACTCCATACGCACGCGGGCCCAGCTGCGAGCGGGAGCTAGTTTTATTATATTGTTGGCTTACCAATACATTTTTCTGATTGCTTTGAGTTTGACTTTCAGAAGAACTGTAATGCGTGCTTTGCCTACCTAGTTACTAAATTTTTACAGTAGGCTAATAATTGTTTATTATGTGTTATTTGTCTCCTCATTAGTGAGATTAACTTGATGACCTTAATAACTTTATGCACAGTAGGTATCTACAGTAATTGCTTTTTATTTATATCTCTCCTGGGAAAGTGAAATGACGTAGAAACCTTGTGTGTACATAAACATGATGAAGCCTAACCAAGCAAATACATACCTACAGATCCATAAGCAACGTGCTCTCTCCCTTGGGGGTTGACAGAAACTATAGAATGCCTGCAACAATTCTTACTGATTTACTTCTTTATCTTCTTACTATATACTATGTAGTCTCTACGCTCTATGCCTTAAGGTTACATAACGTAACTCAACCTTAGTTATCGTATCAAATACTGGGTCGGGATACCGATACACACAATAGGTGTATGATAAATATAAAATTCTACTGACTTATTCAAACTTTGATCCGGTTTAAAGTCATGTAGTCTAATGAATGATGTTTTAAGATTATATTATTATATAAACTTAAATAGCATCTATAAAGAGTGGCTGAAAAAAATTAACACATTCGAAGAACAAAAAGAAGGCACTTGCGATCTGTCACTCTGTCACCGTCATTTACACCGTAGACAGACATGTAGCCAAAATACAGAATTGATTTTAATAACCCCATTAAAATTACCTATACATCTGCAATAAAATACCTCTCCAACAGGTGTTCCGACAAAACTAAATATGTCCTACAACCCATAACGTCTCCCACAAAGTAAGTCCGATAAAGTTTTTCTAATCTCTTCTCTTAAGTTCATCGACCCTTTAGGTAGGTACTTACTCCTGCTTTGATTTGCAAAAGGAAATCCACTGATCAAATTTTTCGTACAATTGCACACCTCCGCTCTATGAATTTCTCAATCATTATGCTTATAATACCTACTTAATTGTGTTCCATACAATATATGTTTTTTCTTACAGTTCCTTCAGATTTAAAAATGGCTTGTTGTTGTAAACTACAGGGTAAATGTGAGTATAATATTGTTACATTAGTAACATAATCGGTAGTTATGTAACAATACCAGTGATATCTCGCGAAGCTCTTTTATTTTATTATTCTAAAAACGTACCTAGTCAATTAGTCCAACCAGAATTAGGAACTACATAGTTTCCTACAGTGTACGTACCACAATCGACACTAAACCACGCACGTTTCTAATTTCCCCACTGCTTTTTGATTAAAACTTTAGAAACCTGGTCGATAGCTTATTATTGATTTTTGTTATTATTTTATTATTGATTTGCATAAACCACGCAGACTAGCTAAAGATACTTTTTTCTAGATAAAAAACATATATACTACCAGTCAGCCCTTGTTCATTTTTTTTTCATAATCGAATTAAGTGCTACTGTGAAATGTACGGTGAAAGGAAACTCGGACATGTAATTTCTAACTATAAGTGCCAAATCGACAATCCGCCTTGAAAAAGGGGGTTATATATGCGAATCAATTAGGTATAACTATAGACGCACATAAACCACTCAGTACCTACCCCTACAACAAACCCATATATTAGGATCATTCAAAGCGTCATAAATACATATATATTTGCTATAACCTTGTTAAAAGATGTCTTTCATTAGAAGTGGGTATTTATATGCTGATGATGATGATAATAGTAGTCAAGAAATAAAGAATTTATGAATGCTTTTTTCGAGATGTGATCTTGCGCTTAGCAACACATTTAGCGATTCAATTCTTCCTGATATTTTTGTGGACGCGACCTGTAACTAAGTATACCTTCTTGTATTTTCTTACAGCAAATAAATCTTCGGCAAGTTGCTTGGGCCGCTGTGGTCTACCGAAACACAGATGCTTAGATAAAGGGGAAATAAAACCAGGCCCCGTGCCGAAACACATGGGATGGCTGTACACCGCCAGAGATGCCCCTGAACATCAAGTATGTATGCAATTTAAGTCGCAATCTGGACGAGTGAGCAGGTCTGAACAAGGTTGAAACTTAACATGAAATTATTTTATATTTCAGTTGAGATGCGGCTGGCGCCCAGGTCACATCTCCTGCCCGGTTCTCAGAAAAATCGAGGCGCATAATTGCGTTAAAACGGGCGAATGCACCCCGTCCCCTTCAATATGTGCGCGGCCGACATGTTCTAAACCATGTTGCATACCTCCCAAGTGCGTTACCGTCTGCCCATCTACCCCGTCTTGCTGCAAGCAACAGCAACCTCCATGTGGACAAGCGCTCATAAGAATAGTCAGACATGGTGGAAACTACAGTATCTGCACCAAACCGTCTAACATTAGCAATGCACCCTCGGGGCCTTACCCGCTGAAGTATGTTCTAAACATCGATGATGAGGAACCTGAACCATCGGGTCCAAATCCTCCACCGCCAACTAAATACAGCGTGGAAGCCAAATTTAATGACTACCACTTTGATTATACTAGTTCGCAGTCATCTTTTGTACTCGATTTCTCACCACCTGAACAACGCTGTTATAAACCATGTCCTAAAAGGAGCATAGTATGCATGTTATGCAAGACAGACAAATAATAATTTTAAAAACATATCTAAAATAATCAAATCTGAACATTAAATCAATCTAACGTGATAAACAAGAAAGGATATTGGCAGAGTGCGAGAGATTTAAAAATATTAATCTTATATATAACTAACATACATCACAATGAACATCTTATATGTTTTGGTTTGGCTAAAGTATTTAAAATATCGGATGAAGAGAATAGTCTTACAAACTATATTGCAAACTCATTGATGAAGATGGTCATGTAGAGTAGGTAAGGTACATCGGCGTAGTGTATAACGTCGATGGTATCTAAGATTAATTTCATTCATTAGTCTTAATTTCTATCTAAGGTACCTTTTTTTTAAACTTTCTTACGCCATTAAAAACAACATTACAGTAACTATTTTTTTTTTCATTTGTGTTTAATCCACGTTATGCTGCACCTTTGCGAGAAATTACCCATATCCGGGGTTGCGGGGCAAGCGCAATGAGGCACGGTGGTTTTAAGTCAAGATTCTGACACTCCCTCCCGCCCGACCGTGGGTGGGAGAAGAAGTCATGTGGCCATTTTCCCCTCACAAAAAAAAAACACCTACAGAAATAATTGCGGCAATCTCACTTGTCACATTGGCACTGAGACAGTGAAAACATGAAAAATATAATTCTATACATATAATATGCTCCACCTTGTTCTCTGGGCGGTCTTTACAATGACGACAACCGCTGCACTAGCTGCAATAATAGCGAACCAGAAGGCAAACTTAGGTACTACGTACACAAATAATGAAGCTACGTCTATCGCAAATCGCAACCGAGGGCCGAGCACGCTGTTATAGCAAGACCTCTCTTATAGGAAAGGTTTGAGAGACGCCATGGCGTTCTTACCGTCCGCCTGACGCAGGTGCTTAACGAGCACGGCAACCTCGATAGGTACCTGTTTCATATCCGGGCGGGAGGAAACGCCCGGGAATCCATATTGTGAGGACCACCCCATACGATGGCGGTGCGCCCTCAGGGAAGTAAAGGCCATGGTGGGGAGCGAGAGAAACTGGAAAGGCGTCTCATCTTTCTGTGAAGTAGTTGTGCTCGCAAAGGAGGCGGAACGCGTCAGGGAGATATCCTTCTCACGCCCCAACCGCCGCAGTAGGCGATGTAGTGATGACCTCCGGCGTCAATGGAGGGCGAGCAACGGTAGCTTGCCACCCGACCAGAACCAAACTAGAACGTACGGAGCGTAGCCTTCTGCACGCTCCTCAAAGACCCAATAGACCACCGCAGATGGGGCCCTACAGGGCCGATGTTGCTGTTGTTATAGGGGCAGGGAGGTACTGCAGCCTTGGCCTAAAGTAGAACTAACAGGGGGGAAGGGTAAGTCGGAGTCTGACACTCCCTCACACTGAACTTATTTGATTTCCCTCCAAAATAAAAGGTGTATAAATAAAATGGAAATATTGATGGGCTTCATTTAACAACACTTGTATTTTTCTAACACACAGGACGAAAATCTATAACAAAATAAAATAAATACATCATGTATCATTAATTACTAAAATTAACTTTGACCTGTCTTCTGTGCTAAAGCCAGCATATTTTCATTAGCAAGCATTTGGAACTCGTGGAATCGTTGTGACACCCGCTGATTTGTTCTTAGATATTTCTCCATGCAATTCATTGTGCATTTATCCTGCAAAATAAAATATGGGCATTTTTGTATGAAAAAGTTGATAATAATGAAAGTTAATAGTAGGATTGAAAAATAAGCAACAATTGTTTAGTAAGATAACAGCACATGGTTTATTCTGTTAATTTTATGAGATAACTCATATAAAAAGAAAAATATAACATGACATACAACTGGTTTTAGACCTTGTGTATCTCTATCTAAAAATGTAAATTGATAGCCAAACTCTAGACAGAATTTCAACTACATTATTATTGAGTTTTAGAAAACTAATGAATAAAATGACTTCCAAATCTATGTTAAGGGTCTTATAACTGGATAATGAATTGTTCCAACAAATTACTAGATCATGACAACAGACATAAGTTATCAAATAAGATTAGTGGACCATAAGTGTGATTATAATTGTATTTAGGGTTGCCAGGTCTCTAGGCCTCATAGCCGGACAGACCAGCCCGTTTAGCCGGACATTTTGCTAAAAAGGCCGGACACGCTACATTCTTAAGGATTTTGTATCTCAGTATTAATAGGTACGACAAGATTTAATGTAAATCAAGCATTTATGATTATTGTCATAAATCTTGTTGAATTCTTATGAAATAATTAATAGACGAGTCTAAGTCTTTGCTTCGCTCCAGCCATGTTCGGTGTTTCGTTTCACTCGTTTACGATTGTGAAACGTTTAGGTAAAAAGCCGAACAAAAGCCGGACAGGCCGGACACCGATTATTTTGGCCGGACTAGCGAGCGATCAAAAAGCCTACCTATGTCCGGCTTTATCCGGACGCCTGGCAACGCTAATTGTATTAGGTGTTGATGATGATGAAACTTAGGGGAGCCTCGTGACATTTGTGTATAACATTGTTCATACCTCCGATGACTTCAGCGTTCTCGAGGTGAAGTCATGTATGCAGTCGTTGAAGCACAACTCAGACAGTTTATTGTACTGGACCAGGAAGTCTTTGAACTGAAATGTGAAAAACATTTGCACCATTGAAAAGTCCTTACCTAACTGAAAGCTGGTATAAAAACCAAATGTAACGGGTCTCGAGGCACAAAACTTAAGTTTTATCATAAATTTAGTGAGAAATAACACATAATGATTATATTTATAATAAAAAATTGCCTCACTGTTTTGATTTGGTCAGCCTCACTCATTTCAGCTTGCGCCATGTTAACAATTTCAGAAACGAATCGTATTTAGCAATAATTTATCAGTGTAGCTATTATCCTTAGATATTGATTATAAACAATTAACAAAAGAAAATAGGTAACATTGATTACACGAATTCAAATTTGAGGTTAATTTTTACAGACAAACAATGTTGTAAGATCAAATTTTTCAAAGATTCAAGCACGATGCAAGAGCTGTTCTTTTGACATATTACTAACTATTACTTATTTATTTTTGTATTGTTATTTTATTCCATGTCATTTTAATATAGAAGTTAAAAAAGACAAATTAATTTTAAGAATTTAATCATTTTTTTAATAAAATATAATGTCCAACTCAACTTATGTAGGTATATAGCGTAAACAGAAACGTAAGTGACGATGCGTTTCGAATGTTTGACAACTTCATTGCTATTATTGACACAGACTTTTCCGATTTTGAGCATTATATATGTTTTCTCTCTTTTACTCCACCGCAAAATTCAATCTTCTGTTTCAAAGTTCATTTTTTTGTAACGTCATGTTACAATACTTTATGAAATTGACTTGAGTGGCATCCAAATCGTAAGAAAGAATCCTAAGCAGTAGACTTTTCTTAAAACTTATTAGTTTCAGCTATTTTATATTAAATTATTGATCAAATTCAAGATGGAAGAAATTGGAATAATACTCCCAGAGAAGGTAATAGTTATTTACCCATTAGCGAACATAAAAACCTATATCTTGATTTTGACTATATCATCATTGTCTTTCAGGATGACCAAGTCACCGATGCTAAAGGATTACCTTTTGCTGGACATCAAACTTTTGATGAACTGGAATCCGAAGATCTTTACACAAAATATAAAGTAAGAATCTGTAACTCTAAATAATAACAAAAGTTTGGTATACCACAGCTTGTCACGAATCCCATTCAAAATAAACTATCACAATCGATAGTTGTACCTAATAATAATTTTATAAACAATATATTCTAGTTTGTTGAGAATTATTTCATTTACATGAATATCACCTATTTATCTGAACAATAACAAATTAAAGATTTATTCAAGAGTAATTTTATTGTAGTTGTAATAGTAAGTGAGATAAGTCATAAGAAATATTTTAAGAGAAATTATCTTTTTCAGAAACTCCAACGTATGTTAGAATTCTTGGAAGTGCAAGAAGAATACATAAAAGATGAACAAAGGAATTTGAAAAAGGAATACTTGCATGCTCAAGAAGAAGTGAAGCGCATACAGTCTGTGCCACTTGTTATTGGCCAGTTCCTCGAAGCTGTGGACCAAAACACTGGCATAGGTGTGTAGTGTGAATTTAATAATTCTTTAAAAATACAATATAGGCAATATATTATGTAACTAGCAACCCTCCTCTGCTTCACACGAGTACCATGCTGATACTAAATTTCTCCACTTGTTAATGGTTTCTATTAAACATATAAACCTTTCTTTTTAATTGCTCTTTCTATCAAACAACCAAATTCAAATTTGTTGCATTATTTTAATGATTTATGCATACATAGGGATATAGCGACAAAGAAAGCAGCTTTGTTTTCTACTATGTAATGATTGTACATCATCATCATCAGCCTGTTGTCGTCCACTGCTGGACATAGGCCTCCCCAATTGCACGCCACTGAGCTCGATGTTCAGCTCTTCTCATCCAACCACTGCCAGCCACCCTGCGGATGTCGTCAGTCCACCTAGCTGGAGGGCGCCCTACACTACGTTTGCCTAGACGTGGTCTCCACTCTAGAACACGTTTACTCCATCGGTCATCGGTTCTTCGACAGATGTGACCTGCCCACTGCCACTTAAGTTTGCTAATCCTTTGGGCTATGTCGATAACCTTAGTTCTCTGTCGGATCACCTCGTTTCGAATACGATCCTTCAGAGAGACTCCAAGCATAGCCCTTTCCATAGCTCGCTGAGCGACTTTAAATTGGTGGATCAGTCGCACTGTAAGTGTCCACGTCTCGGCTCCGTATGTCATCACTGGTAGGACGCACTCATTGAAGACTTTTGTCTTCAGGCTTTGCGGTATCTTTGACGAGAATACCCGACTGAGTTTCCTATACGCTGCCCAGCCAAGCTGTATCCTCCTACGAGCCTCCCTCTCGAAGTTGTTTCTACCGAACTGGATAGTTTGCCCGAGGTAGACGTACTCTTGAACAACCTCGAGAGGAGATCCATTGATGGTGATCGGCTCCGGGAGAACATGTTCATTGAACATGACCTTCGTTTTTTGTAGGTTCATCCGGAGTCCGATGCGAGCAGAGGAATCAGCCAGGCTGTTCAGCATATATTGTAAGTCCTGCACGGTTTCAGCCACGATTACAATGTCATCTGCAAATCTCAAGTGTGAGAGATACTTGCCGTTAATATTTAGGCCCCGGCCTTTCCAGCGCAGCGTCTTGAACATATCCTCCAAAGCATTAGTAAACAGTTTGGGGGAAATAACGTCCCCCTGTCTTACGCCTCGATGCAGGTGGATAGGTTCAGACTGCTGGTTCTGTACTTGAACGACCATAG